TGGATGGGGCTTTGGGAAACATGCTCTAGTGTAAGGCGTCCCTGCCCAGGGCACAGGGTTGGAACTGGATGATCTTAGAAGTCCCTTCCAACTCAAATCATTCTTTGGTTCTATGGCATAAATTCCATTGCAAATGCAGAGAGATTTCCTTCTGCTCCTTCTTTTGCATAAAGCTTACACAAAACCCCCCAAGCAGGGGAACCAGCCTCACCTAAGGAATGTGGCATGGCAGATCTGTGTTTTGCTTTAATTAGCATCCTGATGTGATACTGGCTTGGCATGCAGATCTCTGTTTTGTAACACACCGAGCCCTCACTGGACTCCGTGAGGAACCTGGCAAACACAACACTTCCTTCCATTGTCTCTTGTTTTTCTTGGAGCCTGAATATTTTCATTGAAATGTCACTTACATGCACAGCTCATGCTCGGCTGCTCTCAGAGTGCACTCAGGCATTGGGCTTTCAAAAATCAAAGTGAATTCAGCACTTAATCACAGAGTAGCACTCTGCTTACTTATTAGCAAAACAGTTGAGAGGCAAAATCACCAGCAGAGTGGTCCCAGTAATAACAAAAACTTGTGCAGATTTTACCACTGGTGAGTTCCTGCCTGTTTGAGTGCTTCCCAAGGCATTGCAGGGTTATGAGGTGCTTGTGTGTGGCAGGGTAAAGCTGATAAACAGCAGGAATGGGACACTGGGATTCTGAGCCTGCAAACTTGTGGGCAGAGCTTTCCTCAGTGCGTGACTTGCACCCGGCAGGAAGGAGCCTCCGTCATCTCAGCTTTTCTGTGACAGAAATCATCTGAATAATTCATCAGAGTTCAGAGACCAAGCTGGGAAAACTTCAGGGTTGGGGGTTTTGGCTCAGCCTGGGCTGGGTATTTTTGCAAAGGTAAGGAGAAGTGCTTCAGGGTTGGGAGAAAGGATGTTCACCCTAAAAACTCGTTCTCAGCAGAGATGCCAAAGCCTCAAAAGACCTCACACAGGAAAATATTCTGGTTTCTTTGGAGAACCAGAAACAGCAGCTGAGAGGACCTAGGTAAAGCAGTCAAGAGGACTGCCAAGAGGATCAGATCACAGGTGCTGGAAAGAGCTGGAACATTAAACCAGACAGGCATTTTCACTTTCTTTAATGAAATCCTAGTATTGACAGGAATCCCCCTGGATTTGTCAATATTCTCGACTCTGCAAAAAGTTGCAATGAAACTCACAGGTGGATCTTCACCTTTGACCATTACTTACCCAGCTGCACACTACCCTGGGCTGCTCCATTTGTTTTGGAGGTGCCTTTCAGACCCATTTTTAGCCTGTTTTCCAAAGGCAGTGAGGCAGTGACTCTCCATCCTAACTTGCCAGACCTTAGAAATTTTTGACCCATTGGGTGAACTTCAACTAGCTTTGACAGAAGAGTAGAGGTAGCAAAAATATTAAGTTCCTACCTATTTTAAGCAAATATAGATGAATAAATGAGAAAAATGAAATTATTGTCTTAATAGATTTTTAATGTGGTCCCATATTCTGCTGGACAAACAATAGCCTCAGATCCTGTGGCTTTGACTAGCACCAGTTACACAAAAATCTCAGGGAAACCAAACTCTGCTGCTTCACACTTCAGTGCAGGTGAATAATAGAGATGAAATCAGTCAAGCCTTGGAAATCTGCTCTGATCTACACAGGCAGCACAGTCAGAAACAGCATTTCCAAATGGACCCACAAAACTCAGCTGGAAAAGACATGTAGATTGGATTATTAGGAAAAATTTCTTCACTGAAAGGATTGTCAAGCACAGGAACAGACTGCACAGGGAAGTGGTGGAGTCACCACCTCTGGAGGTACTTGGAAGATGTGTGGATGTGGCACCTGGGGACATGGTGGGATTGGCAGTGACAGGTTAATGGTTGGACTCAATGATCTTTGAGGCCTTTTCCAACCTAAATGACTCTAAGTTTCCATGTGTTTATGTAAATCCATTTTTATGCATGATTTTCCAGCATGCAGAAAATGAATCATCAATACCCAAAGAGGCTGATTATGCTAATGAAACATTCGTATCTGACATCACCAACCACGACAGATTATCAAGATCTTTCCCTATACTCACAAGTATAATAAGGCAGATCACTTGTAAGATACAGTAAGGTAATTCTTACCAAATGGCACCAACAGCAACCAAAAATCCTATAACTGCTTTTTAACAGAGCTTACTATTACACCAAAATTGTTTAATAAAACTATTTCTGAAAGCAATTTTTTCCCCCCTGTCTTCTACAATATTCTCTGGGGAAATCTCAAGCAGCTTCCAGAAGGAATGAAACTTTCAAGGTTTCATTTCAGTTTTTGTCTTTGTTGCCTATGTAACAGTACTATAGAAAATCCAAACTTGGGAAGAAGCAGATTTTTTCCTGGTTGGAAAGCACATCATCCTCATGGAAATAGGACAAATGTTCTACAGTATTTTTCTCCAGTGACTGCAAAAATTTGGCAGAGTCATCACAGAAGAGGCAGAGATTATCTACATCTGTATTTGGCTTTGCAGCTGCACCACTGACCACCTCACACCAAAGGTGGGAGTCAAAGACAGCAAGGAGTCGTCCACAACCTTGCCAAACTTAGAAACACTGGGTTGGAATATCTTGCATTTTGGGAAAATAAATAAAGTAAAAATAGCTCAGCCCTTTATAAGGAACAGTATAACCCCTGGAGACAGACATGAAATTCTGAGTTGTCAAATCCAGCAATCTCCAACCTGGACTTCTGGTCTGCCTTGCACTAAGAGGATTGTGTCAGTTTGAACAGTTCTGTCATGGCTTGTACACAATAAATGTGAAAACAAGGTGGTGAAACCAAAGCCAGAGATCTTATTTCCCCATGGACATACTGGGAAACACACAGAGCAGATTCACCAACAGCTATGTAACCCTGGGAAGTGCTCCCAGAGGGACTGGCAGGAACAAATTGAGTGTCAAGTAGACATGGACAGCTGCCTCTTAACCTCCCTCCTTTCCAACCCCAGCACAGACACTGAGACCTTTACTTGCCCATATCTTTGACAGAATAAATGAGGTGTGATATTTATCCTTCAAGCTGGCCTGCTAACAAGCATGGCTTTCACGTAAAAGGAGATGCACTCAAGGACAAACATAAACAGGGAGGCTTGGTCAGCCTTCAAAAACCTTCTCCCACAGAGGTGCTGCGAGATGCTCAGGGGCTGTAATGTCAATTTTCCACAACACAGCAAGGAGTGCTCTAAAGTTTGGTAATGAAAATGCTGCCCACACCACAAAATAATCCTTGGGAAGTATTAGCTAGAGTCCACTTTGCAAGCAGTGACCCAGGGAAAAGGACAAATGGATTTGAGATTTCTTGTGCTCATGATACTGATCTCTGAGTGGCCTTGTTTCCCCCTTTTTTTTTTTTGCAGTCTAAATGTGGCTTTCTCAAAGCTGCTTGATCAGAACCCTTCTGCTTCGCAGAACCCAAGTTTTAAAGGAAGGCAAAATTAGGAGAAATTGTTTAGGAGAAATACACAAAAATGAGAAGCTGAAAAACCCACAGGGAATCTAATAATAATCAGAGCAGAAATATAAACAAAAAGATAAGATACTTCATGCTGTGCAATGGTTCATAGCCATTGTATCAACAAGTTGGTGTTACCTTGGAAACAAGAGATTATCCATACATGCCTTCTCCCAAACAAGAATCCATGAAAGGAGGGAAGCAAAATGGATTTTGAGCCTCCTGGACTTTGCAATGTTGCCACCCAACCCTTGATACCAATTGATGCCAAGCCTAACTATTGATGGAAACTCAGAAGCAGTGCAGAGGTTGCACCATCCTTCAGGTGACATCCAAGGAGATGAGGGTGAGTACCTGGCTTGGAGAACCCTGAGTAACCTGGAGGGTTCTTGTTCTCTCCACCTTGAGATAACACAGCACTTTCCCAAAAAAGTGCAGGAAGATCATTCCCTCCCTTCCCTTTAGTGCTCTTGGTCCATCCTGTAGCACAGCTCTTTGTTGGGGCTGGGGACTGCCTGGAGCTGTTGATGGGCTCTGGCTGCTGCCTTCAGCTGGGCATCTCACCCCACTGGACCTGTGCCCCCTGGAACAGCCACATTCTTGGCCTTTGGAAAATTAACTGGCTGGGTTTACACGTACAGCTATAACAGAAGGGATAATTCCCTAGGAAGTGTTGAATGGTGAGCAAGGAAAAATTTAGACCAAGGTGTAATCAGTGTCACCGCTCAATACAGAACTACATTTCAGATAACCCAAATATCTGGATGCAATTATTTTATAAAAGTGATGGCTACACTATATTAAACAAGCTAATAATAAGTAGGAATAATATCTATTTATTTTTCTGAAGACATTAAACAAAACTAAGGATTTATGAATCAACTTATCACAAAATTGGTACTTCCCACAGTCCAGCTGGCTTGTTGGAATTTGTACAACACTAATGTTTCTCTCCTTTTGCAGCACTCTGAACTGAGATGTAGGGCTACAGAAACACACTAAGAATTTACAGGATGTTATTCTCCCCACAACGCCAGCACAATGACTTTTGAGGACATCACCATGCCTGCACCTTACCAACAGACAAGGGACCAGCATTTTCCCCAAGGGCTTCCCCTGAGGCATTTAACCCAGAGCTGCCTCTGTCAGATGCTCCAGGCTTCCCTATGGCACATGTGGCTCTTCTCAGCTGTAATTCACTCCCCTGCCATGTCTGTTCTCTCTCTTTTCCTTGATTCAATCTACAAAACCACTCTGGTTTGATTTGGGTGAGACTAGTCACAAAACAATTTAATTCCCAATTTTACAACAACACACCACACCACAGCTAGAGGTCTGGTTTTGACCACCCTCCAGGGATTTTGCAGTCCGTAGCACACAAGACAAATACCTCTTATATATCCCATCTTTTGGGTTAAAGAACAAAACCAGAGCAAGAAGAGTTGGCAACTTTGATATAAAGACTTCATTAGGTTCAGTACTTACAACTGCATGACCAAATATAAATGGTTTGGACTCTCATAGATGTCTTCCAGAGCAACTATATTTTCATGCTTGATCCTGAAAAAATACAAGATAAGATAAGATGAAATAGTGATTTTCATTTTTTTTTCACATGACTGCAAAACACAGAGCTATTTTTAGTTACACAATACTTGTCAGTGTTTTATTCAACATCATGAACTTTTTGCAAGGATGTGTAGTGATAGAACAAGAGAAAATGGTTTTTAGCTGAAAGAGGGTAGATTTGGATTAGATACTATGAAAAAATTCTTTCCTGTGAGGGTGGTGAGGCACTGGCACAAGTTGCCAAAAGAAGTTGCAGATGCCTCATCCCCTCATCCCTGGAAGTGTTCAAGCCAGGCTGAACAGGGCTTTGAGCAACCTGGTCGAGTGGAAGGTGTCCCTGCCCAAGCAGGGGGATAGGAACCAGTGATCCTTGTAGTCTTAGGGCCCTTTTGATCAAAGTAAACAGTCCAAAGTGCTTCACAGCCCAGAATACAGTTATTATTCAGAAAAATTTCTTTCAATCATCTCTGAAGCCAAAATGTGTAGCAGTTAAGTATTTGAGGCACTAGAGCTATTCAGTTCCTGTTTCAGATGAATGAAGATGGTTGCTGGTGGTGAAGATGGAAGTTCCTGTGCCAGATGAATGAAGATGGTTGGATGGAGGCTGAATTCTCATGAAGCTTTGCTGCAGGGTGCAAGGGAGTGACAGAGGCAGGCTGGCAGGGAGAAAGCAGGGATCTGACCCGCTGGAGAAGCTCACACAAGGAACCTTGCAGCCATATGACAGCCCCACACTCCTTCCCACCACATTCCTGCTCCTTGGATGTTAAGTCTGGCCTTGCTGCCTGAATTTCCCTACAGCATCTCTAAGCTCTTTGGGCACCAGCTCCAAGAGTCTTCAAGGCTTTTTTACATCCTCACCATCCCCACCAAGCCTCTTGCCAAAACATTAGCTCTAAAGAGAAAAATCATCTCTACAAGCACACATCTAATTAGCTACTTCAGCAATGACTCTATGGGTTTGTTCCTTAAATGTTTACAAATAATTTGCAAAGGATATATTTAACTTGTGCAGATCCTGAAGAGACTACCCCAGTGCAAGCCCAGGGCAGAACATTAATTACACCAATTCCAAACAATATTTTAAGAGCAAGAGAAAGATGGAAAATTCTAAGAAGAGGCCACTCATTAAGCAACAGATGGGTATGTTCAGAAGGAAAGTAAACATGCATTGTCAGCAAATGAAAAACTCTCTGCATGTTTCTAGGTTCAAGTAGCTTAATTAAGATGCTTAATCATGTGTCAGAACCTTATCCTCTATGGTCACAAGTGTCCTAACACCTGTGTGATGACGTGGAGAGCAGAAGGTGCATTGTGCCCAGCAAGATCTTTCCCACAAGCATAGAGACTAATTCAATTTCCTCTGAATTCACTGGAAATATTATGACTGACCTGAATTAATGCCCATAATCACTCATCAAAAGCTGTGTTCATGCAAGGACCTTCAAACACAGGAAATTTAATGTCAGCAATAAGCAAACTCAAATGTAATACACTGCAGGATGTTAGAGCAACAAACACATGACTTGGCTCTTCATTCCACCTAAATGGTTGGAAAATCCCATGGTACTTCAGCAAAATTTCCAGGTAGGTTGCATCACAAATTAAATTCTTAATATTTGCAACAGGAAACCAATACACCACCCACTTCGCTTTACACAACAAATGTTTGGAAGGATTTTTTTACTGTGCAGGTCTAGTGCCTGGTCCCTTTAAGGTTTAGTTAGGACAAGAGCAGGTTTGCCTTGTTTAGTTGAGTTGAAGGTGTGTTAGAAATGACGTTTAAAGCAATTTGTGATTTTTAATGAAAACTATAATATTTATTTATCCATTTTCCTTTATGCACCACACACATTCACCTGATCCTTTGTGCTCCTCCTACTATCACAATGATGGCAGTTTAACACAATCAATCTCCCATAATGTTTAAAGCCTCCAGTTTAGTCTGGAGTTTGGTTGTGTGAAAAATACCAATCACTTGTTTTTAAAATTTTAAAAAGTTTAATGATAATAAAATGGTTATAAAAATAGCTATATAATTAGAGTAATAATAATTTGGACAATTTGGATTAGCACAATATGAGAGAACAGAAACAAAGAGTTACAGACGTCTGAGTACCTCTTTCTGGACAAAATAAGCCTGAAAAAGGACACAGTTAACAGAGGATTAACCCTTAAAAACAATAGACTTTTGAATATTCATACATCTTATACATGAATATTCATACATATTATACATGATGCATAAATTCCACTCAAACACAGGAGTCTGTCTGGTCAGTGTCAGCTTCTTCCTCTTAAACCTAACAGCATCATCATGGCTAAGTGAGGTGGGAAGAAGTTCATTTCTTCTGATAATGGAGCAATAAATTCTCTTTTTCTGAAAGATTTAGGTGTCCTGCAGCTGCTATCTGGTGTGAGTACCTCATTCCTTTCTTAAAAAAATATCCCACATACATAGTTCCCATTTTAACTACAGAAGTTACCTTTTAACTACAAAATTGCACTTTACCATACTATTAAAATGTTAATACAGCACTACTAATCAATACAACATAATACATACAGTAAATATCTGCGTAGAGCCATATAGTATGCATTTTTCACTGTTTTCACCATGCATTCACTACTGCTTTGCATTTGTAGTTTGGGGAAGCCTCAGAGCTCCCCAAAGCAGCCTCACCATCACACTCAGGGTCACCCACAGGCAGGGAGGCAGAGGCTGGGGAAGAGCTGGTCAGAGATACAGTGCTGGGCACGGGGCTGCTGCAGACACTCTCCCCTCCCTGATGTGCAAACCAAATGGGCACTGCACCCTGTGCTCTGGAGGGAGGGCACACAAACTGCTCCGTGCTACAGAGAAAGGGCAGAAAAGGCTTAGTCCCACCCCTGCAGGGTCCTCTGCATTGAGCCCATCTGTCCCCTCCTGAAATCAGAGGCAGGATGCGAGCATGTGGGAAGACAGCAAATATGAAGTGTAATCTGGGAGGAGACAGCTGAAGAAGCTGAATCACCCCCAAAGGACACATGGAGCATCCATCCCTCAAAGGGGTGATGGCATTTGGAGCATGATGTGCCTTTGGGAGGGGGTGTCTGTACATATCAGCCACCCCAACTGCTGGTGGTGCTGTGTTGGGAAAGGCGAAACAGGAAAGCCTTATAAATATGATTGCCTGGCAAAGGATTTTGAGAATACAGAAACTGTAAGTGAGACTGAAATGAAAGCAAGCTTTGAGATACCTTAGTTACTGTACAACTGGAAAACAATGGTGTGGCCAGCTGAAGGTAATCCCCTTTTGATGAAACAACACCCTCTGCTTGCAGACAGGTCCAAGGGTCAGAGCAGACCCTGCTAGCTTGGCAGAAGAGGTCCAAAGAGGAGTTTTTAGGGTTTAAAATGTAACACAGTATGGTAGTGTAATGATTCTTATAGGGTGTATGTAAATGCTATAGGATTTGTCTATTGTAGTAGATTGGTTAGTGAGAATTAGAATATTCAACAAAGAAGAAGATTTATGGTATTGTAACAGGAACTTCTCTCTCATTTATTCTTTTGTCCTCTTTTACTCTTTTGCTCTCATCTTCTTTACCACGCTCTTGCCTTCTCTTTCTTTTCCTCTCTTTCCCTCTCTCAGTCCTGCTCCGAGCTGTGGATGGCAGATCCCAGCAAGGCCCTGCACCCAGGCCTTTGGCAATAAACCATAAGTTCCACGACTGTCAGAACCCAGGAAATTCCTCTGGCTGCCCTGGAGGCCTCCAGCCCTGCCCAGGGGGCTCAGAGACCTTGGCACAGAGCCCAAGATCCCTGTGCCTTTGATTTAGCCCTTAGAAAAAACAATTACCAACCTTTATATGAAGAATTACAAGTCAAGAGGGTTTAAGTAAAATAATAGTTAGTTGGTCACAGAGTGAAAAATAGATTTTTGGAGTTTTTAGAATGGGGGTTCAGGGGGCAAGATGGAGGAATCTGGATGTGTCCTGCCTTTCTCCTTCTTGGCCTCCATCTTCTGGATGAACAATATTAATTTCAATAACACCTTGGGGTTTGGACAAGCAGGTGTGGCATCATCAGAATGTTTTGCTGGTAGCACAAAGTCCAATGGTGATGGAGCAAATTTGTCCCACTCCTCTGCCAGCAGATGAGCAGTGCCAGATGTGAGTAACAGGCAGACACTCCCTCTGGCTTGCAGGGAAGCTTGGGTACATTGAGAGCCAAGGAAAGAAACACTGTGAAGTGGCAGCTCCTTGCTGGTCATGGATCAGGAGGGATTTGGGGATGGGTTAATTAACTCCACTTTTATCCCCTTCCAGAAGCACCAAGCGAGTCTCAAAGGTTCAGAGGATTCATTCTGCTAAGCCTCCAAATGCCTGCACACAGCCCTGCAGAAATACTCACTGGACTGCCTGATCTACTCAAGACTGACAGGATTTATTATTTTAAAAGGTGCTGCTCTCACTTTACAGAAGGGGAAGCACTGTGCAGAAAAACTACAAGTTTTTTCTGTAATCACCAGCGAGAATGGAGCAGAGAGGGCCAAGACTGCTCAATCCCAGAGTAATATCTTAATCAATGGGCCATATTACTTCAATTCCTTCTCCTTCCTACCTCAGTGATAGAATCTTAACCCCACTTCTCTGCAGACCCTTTCTTCCTTCTGTCCTTCCCCTCCAGACTCCCAAAATTATCCCACCCTGCAATAGATAAATCTGCCTGGTTAACTCTACACAAAGCAGCTCACTGATGCTTCAGGGTACATGATAGTGCAATATTGGGGCTGCAGCAGAGGGGACACGAACATGGGATGGGGTGACAGCAGTTCCCATTACTTGCTTCCAAAGAAAAAAAGCCGTGAAAGTGAACATCAAAGCATGGACTTGCTTAAACAAATTAGATCCCATTATGCAAATTGATATGAAATAAGGAAAATTGCCCTTGCCACCTTTGCAATTCCCTTTTCATCACATTTGCTATTTTTCCTGATGCT